CTTTTAATAGGGTTTATCTGGATTCCCCTTTGCCACTTTGCTTCTGATGCTGGAGCGGAAGCTTTAAATCCAAGGTGCTTTAATCATCAGTTTAGCTGCTAAATGCAGGAATAAATTTGGTGCTTCTGTCTGTGCCTTTTGGCTATGTTCTGCCTTGATTTATAAACTTCTCATCCCACGGGGTTACAAGGCAGTCTGCAGCAGAGGTGAGTTTGGCTCTGTGAGTTGTGGATGGGCAGCAGTCAGCTGGGGCTGATCCCAGCCTGTTCCCTGCTCTGCAGAAACGTGGGGACAGCGAAAGAAAAACAACCCAAGTCCTTTCACAGTTCCCTGGGTCAGAGCGAGTGCTCAGGTTAGAGTTACTGACTGAGAAAGGATGTATTGTAAGTATCTAATAAGGGTCTAATTATCGGGAACTACATGCACTGAAAATATGGATCCTCTCTTTTCCAAGACACTGCCAGTTACCCAGCACAGATTGTCACTGCTGTCGGTGCCTTTGGTGATACATGTGCCCTGTGGAGTGTGGTGGGCAGTGCTGTGTGGAAGGTAAAGAAAGAAATGTCAGACAGGAGCAAGTGAGGCCAAAAAGACGTGTGTTCAAGTAAATGACAAGGGGGGTGAGAAGTGGGTTGGCCCTCAGGACTGGACTGTCAAGCCCCTGGGCTCTGGACAGGCTGTGGGACTCGGCCCAGGTGGCAGGGAAGTGATGAAAATACCATTTGGATGTTTGGGCTCATGATCTACAGATCAAGCACGTTGGTCTCCTTCCCTTCATCTTGCTGTTAAGTATCTCAGGCACAACAAATCCACGGAGAGCAGAAATCTAGATGAAAAGGAACCTGATTTGTCTGGTCTCAAGTAGCTTTGCAGCTGTGTGAGACAAAGGTGTTGCTGCTGAAGGCAAGTGGGAGAGCAGGGGCATTCCCAGGCCAGGTTCACTGGAGTGGCTGGAGAGGAGGGAGCTGTGCCAGGAGTCCCAAGTCACGCTGGCCTGGGCTGCTGTGGCAGCTGGATGGAGCAGCTGGGAGTGGGAGAAGTGACAAGAGCAATGTGACAATGAGATGAGGGGAGCAGCAGTCACCAGGCACAGGGTGTTAACAGCAGCCTGCTGCAGCTGACTCCCAGTCACTGCTGAACTCCCCTTGGTGTCCCTCTGTCTCACCACTCAACATCCCTGTGGCTCAGATCTAATTCAGCATTGATTCCTGGACCAGCCTGACTTCTTTCTTATCAGAAGCAAACTATTAACCTAAAATGCCACAGTGGAGGCAGGTGGCACCTGCATCCAATTTGCTGCAAGCACAGAAAGGGTCACTGGTCACATCTTGGGGCTGCTTGTTTGTGTGACTTCATGTATATGAGTACACAGACTTGCTCCTGAAATGGTGCAGGTTCAGTTTTAGCAGCCAATAATTCACTATGGTGGTTATTTGAATCTCTTTTCCTTCCATACTGGCATTTTTCTGTAGATAAATTCCTTTTTAACGACAAGTCTGGAACAAAGCTTCACATTCCCTTTGCATATGAAGTTCTTTCTTCAGTGTGTAGTTACTGAAGGTGCTAAATTGAATGAAAATGAAGAATTATTCAATTGTTTCACAAAAAGAAAAACACATTGGTGTGCTGGCAGCCTTTTGTAGTGTAAATCATGAAAACTCCTACATAAGTACAAGTGAAAACACCTTGAGGAAGGGACAAGTAAGGTAGGAAGAAAGAATTGTCCTCGCATTTTGCATGCTAGATCAGACAGGTAGTTGATGTCAAATATATCTGGTCAAGAATTGTAATGCTGCCAGGATTTCAGTAAAAAATCTGACTTTTACATGAAACCAGTCGTGTCCCACTTGCATGTCTGTAAATTTTATGGGGCTGAACAGACCTCAGTGCTTATAAAACAGAGACTGGAATTGGTCTCTTTACACTTGTGATCATCACCATTTCCAGACATACTGTGCTTTGGGGGCTTCATTTTTCCATTTAGCCACAGACCCCAGAGCTCAGGAGTTCTTGGATCTCTGAATTGTGCTGCTGTCAGTGTGTGAGGGAAGGTGACACTCCTGTGTGTTTGCTCTGAGGAGGCTGTACATCTTCCATCCTAGTATTAATTTCAGGAGGAGCAGGGGCAGCTGTCAGCCACGATTCTGTGGTGGTTGAGAAATCTGAAGCGTCACTGTGCCCACACAGATTAGTAAGTTTGACAAGTTGAGATGAGTACTGAGAACTGGCCTTTGTTTTTAATTTTAAAAATGGTGTGCTTGGCACAATTAGCCAGCACAGATCTTGGCAGATCTCGGAGAGTCCTTTGGTGGTGTTTTCCCAAGACACACCCACTCTAGAGCACAGTTAGTCTTGGAACTGGAGAGGATCTCAGGTGCTAGAGAGCAGATCCCCAGACCTGCTGCCCTTTGAGGTGTGAAATGTGGTTGGAGAGGCTTTGGAGCCTGTGGACACCTTCTGCACTGGTTGGTCTGTGACACTGTATCCTGCAACTGGTAGGACTGGGTGGACAAGCTGCTGGTTTTTCCGCTGGAATGGCCCTTGTTGTCCATCAGGCTTTCCTCCTGGAGCAGGTGCTGATGTCCACACCTGCCTTTCCTATTTTACCTTTATTTGGTAAAGGCAGACCACTGCCTGCCTTTCCTATTTTACTTGGACAGTATTAGTGAGGTGCATGACTCCTCACTATGTCTGGACATGCATTTTTGACTTCATGTGAAGCCTGGAAAGACAGCATCAACCACAAGTTCAACAGGCACAGCTCTTTCTTTAGGACTCCTGCAGTGTCTCCTCCTGGTCAGCTCCAGTATCCAGAGGCTATGAGGTGTCACTAGGAGACAAATGAAATGAAGCCTGAGTTGTGTCAGCTTGAGCAGTCCTGACAGTCACTCCTTGAGCAGAGTGGCCAGAGACATATTTATCTCCTGGTGGTGCTGGAGGAAGTTGTGTCTCAAGCAGAAAAATGAGATAAGGGTGACACCCTGGACCAGCTCAGTTCTGGTCAGTCTCGGTTGCAAACACAGCAGGGGGAGAGGCCCTGGGCAACCTGAGCCCAGTCCAGGATGGATTTCAGATTCAAAATGTGACAGTCTGCAGCTTGGGAAGGCTCTTCTGAGAGGGTCACAGGAGCCCTTCAAAGGCAGCAGAATGTGGCAGCAGTGAAAGGCCCATGCCACACTCATACACCACCAGTCTTGTCCTGAGATAAGATTTCTTCCTCCTTCATCTCTTCATGGCCAGTATCAAGGCAGCCAAGCCTCAAACTGTGGCTGAGTTCTTCCAGGTCATGACTCAGTAGCTCCTTAAATATCTACTGAAGTGAAGGCTTGGGTTTTCCTTCTGTCTCTGTTTTAAGTGCTGCTGTCTGTGCTGGACACTAATGATTTCATTTTTGGGGGTAGTAGTCACATGAATAATGCATTCCCTGCTGAGCCTTTTTGCCAGTCCCCTATAGCTGCTTCCCATCTGAAGGGAAGTGTAAGAGGTAATTAACAGCCACTTGAAAAAGGATTAGCAGGTGGGTGGGAGCTACTGTTGGGTTCATGCATGGAATTGCCATGGAAATGCTGAGATTTCCTGGCACTTCATCCAGTGTGTGGGCTCCAAAGATAGTTACACTCATGGGTCTCTCTCCTTTCGATCTTCCTACCCTACAAAGGGAGTGGCTGTGTTTTCCTCCAGGACAGCTTCCACTTCCACAGGCTGTGCTGTCACTGTCTGCACACACAGTGGGTGCTGGCCAGGGGTGCTGTGGGGAGCAGGTGCTGTGCTGCACCTCTCAACTGAAGTCTTTCTGCATTTCTTTCATCTCACAGAATCATTGAATATCTGAGTTGGAAGGGACCCACAAGGGTCATTGAGTCCAACTCCCTGGCCCTGCACAGGACACCCCAACAATCCCACCCTGTCCCTGAGAGTGTTGTCCAAATGCTTCTTGAACTCAGATAGTGTTGATGCTGTGCCCACTGCCCTGGGGAGCCTGTTCAGTGCCCAACCACCCTCTGGGTGAAAATCCTTTACCTGAGATCCAACCTGACCCTGCCCTGATGCAGCTCCAGGCCGTTCCCTTGGGTCCTGTCACTGCTTACAGGGAGCAGAGATTGGAGCTGCCCCTCTGCTGCCCCTCAGGAGGATGTTGAAGACCCCAGTGAGGTCTCCCCTCAGTCTCCTCCAGCTGAACACCCCAAGTGCCCTCAGTGTCCTCCCCCAGCTTCAAATCAAGCCCCTTCCCCACCCTCGTTGCCTCCTTTGGACACTCTCTAATGGCTTCAGCTCTTCCTTCCATTGTGCCCCCCCAGACTGCCCCAATATTGCAGGGGAGGCCCCCCCAGGGCAGAGCAGAGCGGGACAAGCCCCTCCCTGGCCCGGCCGGCCATGCTGGGCCTGGTGCCCCCAGGACAGGCTTGGCCCTCCTGGCTGCCAGGGCACTGCTGACTCAGGGCCAAGTGGCCACCCACCAGGACCCCCAGGTGCCTTTCTGCAGCACTTCTCTCCAGCCTTTGGTTCCCCAGTCTGTACACACAGCCACGATCAGTACCTGCCCTGTTGGCAGAAAATCAGGAGGAAAAAAAACCAAACCCTTTCCCAGTGTTCTAAAAGAACTTGATGTGTAAAACAGAGTTTGGCACTTGGAGAGGTTTGTGCTGATCCTTGTCCTGCAGACTGTGACCAGCTCAGAACCTGCTGGAGCAGAAAGGGTTGCAGCTGAACCAGGGCTGTCTTGCATGGGAGCATTTTCAGGCTGTGCAATAAGACCTGCATTGGTGGCCACACATGCTTAAAATATTGGGCCTATTTGTGAGAAATGTCTCTCATTTCAGTGCCAGCTCTGGAGGTTTAGAAGGCAGCAGTGGGCACTCATTCATCTGAAACGGTTCCTGGGGGAACCTGCTGTATTTCTCTCCTTGCTCCCCTTTCTGCAGCAGTAGCAAAGAGCCTCGTGAATTTGAATTTGAATCTGGGGTGCTTTGGTTTTAAGGAGCACGTGCCTTTTGTTTCAGATCACCTGTTAGCAGACTCCTACATCGGGCAGGAGGACTCCCCTGAGCTGCAGCAGGCGGCGCAGAACAAGCGCCGGCTCTCGGTCATCTCGGACGGCAAGTTTGAGAGGAGCTTTGAGGAGCAGGCGGAGAAGATCCCGAGCGAGGCAGCCAAGCCCCGGGTGTACACGATCTCGGGGGAGAGGCCGATGCTGTCGGAGCAGGAGAACGGCAGCATGGAGCTGGTGGTGATGAAGGGGGCTGCCCAGGACGAGTGTCACCACGGCCACCACGGGCACGGCGCCGGCGGCTCCCACGGCGTCAGCAGGCACTGCAAGGCCTGGCCAGGCAGCCGCCAGGGCTCCAAGGAGTGCCCCAACTGCACCCGCCTGGCTGCCCCCTCCCAGCAATCCTTTGACCTGGAGCAGCACCCGCCCAGCGAGACTGGGTGGCACAGGAAGAGGCTGGAGAGGATGTACAGTGTCGACAGAGTGTCTGGTAAGTGAGGGGTGAGTGTTGGGTGCTGGAGGGACACAAAGGGTGACACCATCTGATCCCAGCACGGAGGGTTTGTTGCCGCATGTCTTGAGTTGGGCCCTGTAGCATTTCACTTTTGGCACCTTGCTGGTACTGTCACAGAATCCCAGAATATTCTGAGTTGGAAGGGACCCACAAGGATCAGCGAGTCCAACTCTCAGCCCTGCACAGGATCATCCCCAAGGGTCACACCCTGTGCCCCAGAGGATCAGCCAAACCCTCCTGGAGCTCTGGCAGCCTTGGGGCTGTGCCCACTGCCCTGGGGAGCCTGGTCAGTGCCCAACCACCCTCTGGGGGAAGAACCTTTTCCTGAGATCCAACCTGACCCTGCCCTGACACAGCTCCAGCCATTCCCTGGGTGCTGTCCCTGGTCCCCCTCAGAGCAGAGCTCAGTCCCTGCCCCTCCTCTGCCCCTCCCCAGGAAGCTGGAACTGCCATGAGCTCTCCCCTCAGTCTCCTCTTCTCCAGCTGAACACCCCAAGTGCCCTCAGTGTCCTCACATGGCTTCAAATCAAGGCCCTGCACCAGCATTCCTGGAAAGGGATTTTCAGAGAAGGAGTCTGAAATAAGCTGAGCTCAGCTAGGGGCCAGCTGTCCAAGCTCTGTTGTCTCTCCTTCCAGCTGGTGAGCAGCAGCTGACCTGGGTGGTTTTCATGACACCTTCGTGCAGCTCAGTGAGGGTGAGCTCTGTGGGCTCTCTTTCTGTGGAAGGAAGAGCAAGAGAGGAGGGGCTGTGTCTGAGTACCTTCATCCCTGCTCATCCCAGAGCAGGACTCTCTCTGTCTCATGTGGGGCAGGGGAAATCTTTGTCAATGTGCCACAGTGCTCTGTAGGACCCTCAGCTCAGGTTAAAGTGTTCTGCACTTTGGTGGGTCCCCCAGAATGCTCATCTGTGTGGCTGGAAGCATTTTAACGGGGTAACCCGTGTACTGCCACCTCATGGGCTTCCCATAAATTCAGCAGATAGCACAGTATTGAACTTTCTTCCTTGCTCACTATCCATTTGCTCAGTGTTCTCAGGGAATAGGGCTTGTAATTATTCAATTACATTAAAGAAATCCCTGGCTGTCTTTAAAAACTGAACCATTAATCAAATATATGTCACAGTCTGTGTGCTTTGAATTATAAACTAGTGCACAGTCCATCTTTGCCTGTATGTGGCTGGCAAAGAGTCTGACCTAATTTGTCTGATTTTTTCTGTAAACACACATCCAGGCTTTTAGAGCAGAGAGTCAAGCCAGGAAAGGTCCAGGTTTTCTCCTGGAGAAGAAATTGAGTATAAGGACTGTGGAGATCAAACTGTCCAGCTTTCCTGTGTTCATAGTTTCCTAGTAAATAACATAGTGATGTCTACTACAGGTAAGATCACCAAAGTTTGGGTTCTGGACCATACTTTCATGCTTAGATCCTTGAAATTATGTAACTAAATTAATATATGGCCTAAAACTGAAGAATAGTAGTGAAAAAATAGGTGATTATCAAATGTGCAGAACAACTACAGTCCCATGGAATCCTGTACATGGTTTTTAAGCATTATTCCCTCTGTTCCCTGGGATATTTTGGGCTTCACATCAGACACTGCATGTGCAAGTTTAGACTTTATTATTTTTATTGCTAAAGTGCAAGAAAAGGAATGATAAGAGTTTTTCTGTGTGGAAACCTTTTAGGGTTTTATGATCATATGTGTTTTCCTTGTTAAAAAGATGGCTCTGCATGTGGTGACAGAGCCAGAAAGCTTGTCTGAGGTCAAGAAAAGAAAGTATTTTTAGGAAAGTAGATCCCAACCCCAGGGACTTGGTCTCCTGGAGGTCAGGGTGCTGAGTTGACTTGGTTGCAGGCTCATGATGTGTACTGAATTAAGAAAAGGAAGATTTCCTGGCCTAGTGCTGGTGGGTTTGTGTTGAAAGCTCTCCTGATGTCGTGGTTTAACTCTGGCTTCAGCAGCTGCTCAGTCACTGCCCCGGTGGGGTGGGGAAGGGTGAAGGTGAGAAAACTTGTGGGCTGAGATAAAGACAGTTTGGGTAAAGCAAATGAAGCAAAAAAAGGAATTAATTCCCCATTCCCCATGGGCAGGGATGCTCAGTGATAACAAAACATCCCAGTATTATCAACACTGTTTTCAGAGAATCAGGGAATGGTTTGGGTTGGAAGGGACCTTAAAGCTCACCTAATTCCAACCCTGCCATGGGCAGGGACACCTTCCACCAGCCCAGGTTGCTCCAAGCCCCGTCCAGCCTGGCTGGATTTCAGTACAAATTTCAACACAAATCCAAAGCACAGCCCCATACCACCTACTGTGAGGAAAATTAACTTCATCCCATCCCAAACTAGCACATCTGAACAAATCAAAATTGCACTGTGCACTGTGGGACTGAAACAGGTTACTTGATGCAGAACCAAAGGAAAGCTCCACATCACTAACGGAGGGGTTTAACTCCTCAGAGCTGGACCTAAACTGCTCAGTTTGCTGGAAAATGTGTCCTGGCAAATCCTGCAGGGAGATGCCATGTTCTGTTTCTGGGCCTTGGAGTTTAGTATCTGTTTTTAACTAGGCAGCAGTTTTTGCTGGGGCCAGTTACCAACATGAAATGGAGATCTGTCTTTCTGAATACATATCAAGAGCAGTTACTTAAATGGGAACAAAGTGGGCCAGTGGATGCCTCCATGAGTAGTTTGTGTTTCATACAAACAGGCAGCAGCTCCCCTTGGTGATTCTCTCAAGCCCCTGAGTTGTGGCACGTGTGGCTGCACAGGCAGGGCTGTGTCTCCGAGCCCAAATCCCATCACAGCAGTGGCACCGTGGAAGGAAATTTTCCCCAGCTTGGTCTCATTCGCGCTCTGTACCCAAGTGTTGTCCCTCAGAGGGAACCAGAGAACTGAGCAACACGAGTGGCACAGGCTGCAAGAAGAATTCCCTGGCATGTCCTTCATGCCTGGCTAGCAGGAAAAGGGAGCAGAGAAGAGGGGAGATGGGAGAGAGGCTGATTTCCCCAGAGGTTCACCCTGCAGTGCTGCTGCTCTGTTTGGATTTACGTGACATGCTGCTGCCAACCAACACTCATGGCAGCCAGGCCTGACTGGCATCATTTAGTATGGGTTTTGATGCTGGGTTTACACCATTCCAGGGAAGCACAAGCTGTCATCTCCTGGGCTGCTCCCAGCATCTCTCACAGACACATCCACCCATGGATCCACATCCACCATGGACAGTGGTGCTGGGATTTGGTGCAGTGGCTGGAGATGCTGATTGTGGTGCTGGTGATCCTCCAGTCTCACCAAGCCCATGGCCCCTCAACTGTGTAATCACAGTTGATGCAACATGAAAGGAGAACAAGCTGCTCTGCCTGGCCAAAAAGGAGTTTGCTGCCTGCAAACTCCTGGCAGCAACAGCCATACCCATAGTCTGAATTTAATTCAGTGGGTGAGCTCTGGAGCTGAGCTGTGCTGCCTAGTCCCCACCTGTGTGCTCCTCTGCTGCTGTTCTACCTCTGGCTGGTAAAGAGACACCTTTGAAGGGTCCCAAATCCTTAATTCTCCATTGAGTGCTGTGTGTAGGACAGGGATATCCTTCCTATATTGACTCCTGTCTGGGAGAAAAGGAGGGGAGTCTCCCAGGGATGGTCCAGGCAAAGGCTCCTAAGGAAATAAGCTGTTGTTCATAAGCTTTGCTTTGAACCAAAGCTAGTGGCTTAAAAGCTGTAAAATACATCAAGAGATGTCAGTTCTTTGAGATGTGTAGCCCCTGAGAAGTCTGTACAGAATTGTTGGCTAAAAAGGAATTTGTACAACTTCTCCTTCACCACTTCTGTGGGTTTGAGACTTCAAACAAGTAATTCCTTTACAGTCTGAGTTGTTCTGCATTGCTTCTCTGTGTTTTGGAGGAGAGCAGACTTAGGGACTGCATCACAAGTCTTTACCATACTGGAATGCAGCTTTCATTTAACATATGTATTTCCTTAGGGTGCCTTTAAACAGGACTTGATGTAAACTCTTAGCTGAGAAGGAGTGTTTGGTACAGCTTTCTATAGATTTCTGGGAAGCTTCACTTCAAAGGAACTCTCCCCAGTTGCAGTTAGCAGTTTTTGCATCTGTGACTGCAGCCCCTTTTTGTACTTTCAGGGAGTAGCAGGGTCAGTCTGTAATATATGATGATCTGTACAAGACATTTGGTAAGATAGCTGGTCTGTAGGAATTATGTCTGCAGTGGACATGTGAGGTTTGACTGGGTCTGAGATGATGAAAGTGAGCTAAAAAACACCTTGACAATGCCAGAATATTAATGGCTGAGATGCCACAGTTGCAAATGATCTGCAACTTGAATGCCTGAAGCAACACCAACATGTGGCAAGGCATTGGGCAAGGAAGCCACAAAATTGGGAGTGAAGCAAGATGAAAAATCAGGTAGCCCCAAATCCCAGGAATCCAGTCCACTGAGATCTCTCAAGTCTTGTGTCAGTGCATTTCAATCCCCCTCTGATTTTCCTCCTGTCTGACTCCAGGCTGAGAGTTCTCAGGGACAGGTTCCTCCTCCTGGGCACCACCATCCCACACATGTAATTAGTGACTTATTTTGCTGCCTGCTTTTGGTCTTAGTGATCATTCTGTGAAGATGGTGCAGTGTCCTGGTGCCCTGGAATCAGGAAATAATCCACAGTTGGTTTTGGCAGGGCAGTTTACAAACAGAGGTGACCAAGTCAGCCCAGTTACCTGCGGATTTATAGCTGATGGGCAGCTTGACTTCCAAACCAGATGAACTCCAGGTCACCAGGAGCAGGTGTGTGAAGGGTTTATTGAAACTTCAGTGGCACCAAAAGAGATCTCAGGCTCACAGTTCTCAGGAGAGGCTTCTACCAGAGGCTGTGTCAGAAAGAACTGGAGGAATGGGACATTTCAAATTAACGGTATAAAGGAAAAAGCAGAGACTGGAAAATGCTTTTAATGAAAAATGTTTCTTTCCACTGTTGGTTTTTTTTTTTCCCGGTTCAAATGTCACTTCTGTAATTCCTGGATTACTCTAATCTTCTGTGCTTAGGATAGAGCTTTTATTCTTCATTTAGTAGCCTGATAGACAGGCTTAGCACCAATTTACAGAGCACTGGGTGGCAGTGTGCATATATATGAGGAGGATGAGACTCCTGCTCAGTACAGGGCAGGATGCTGGAAAAAAAAGTCGTAAGAGAAAGAGCTTGGGAAGTCTGGTGGTCTGAAGGATGTCTGTGCCCTCTGGATGCTCAGGCTTTGCTCTCTGTCTCTTCCAGATGATGTCCCCATACGAACCTGGTTCCCAAAGGAGAACCTCTTCAGTTTTCACACCGCTACTACAACTATGCAAGCGTAAGTGAAACCCTACCATGGCTTTTGTGTGCATCTCAGAGCCCCACAGCCTGCTCAGAGCTGTGTCTGAGAGCCTCGAGTTGGGTGTTTGGCATCACAGTCCAGGGCTGAGAGAGAGAGAAACTTGTCTCTTATTAATTTTTGTTCCACTGATTAGTTTTTTCCTATTGTTCTCATTTATTTGGTTTTACCTTCTTTAACTCCTTGGGCTGCTCAGTTCTCTGTGCTTCCCTTGTTTTGTCTGTGACACTGCCCTGGCCCTGGCTGCCATGCAGAGGGAGGGTCCTCTGGGAGCACCAGCTGAGACCCTCCACCACTTCCTTCTGCTGCACCCACTTCCCGAGGGAAGGTTATTCCAGGTTTTCCCTGCATTGCTCATTCCAGAGACATCCCCTTTCTATGGGATAAGATGTAGCCCTGCAGTTCTGCACTGGTCTGGTCATATGAAGAAGTTATCACTAAAATCCCTGCAAAGTATGATGGGATGTGAGTTGGAAGAGCCTGTCCCTCCACACTCCATGCAGGATTTGGTGCCCCTGGTTGTTTTGCATTGGGAGGAGACAGTTCTCAAAGGGCTGAAGGGAGCAAGGAAAGCCTCATTTCCAGGTTGTACCCAACTTGTCAGGAAGTTTTGTCTTCCTGGCTTCAGTTATTTCCTACCTGACTGGAAAGCCAAGGCAAGCAGTGAGGAAAATGAGACAATGTCCTGCCTTCCAAGGCCCTTCTCCAGCCTTGTCCCTTTTTCCCCTGTGTGCTTCTTCCAATGTCTGGGACTCCCTCAGCTCTCCTGCTCTCCCTGTTTTCTTCTTGTCTAATCTGGTGTCCTTTTTGTAATCTGTTTCTCTCATATTTCCTCTTTCTCTCATACTTTTCTCTTCTCAAATCCTGAAAGGGGGCTGATTGTTGATCTTGGGATAACTCAGACTGGATCAGACCTGTAAGGATTGCTGCAGGGAGGGATGGATCCAACATTGAGGGGCAGAGTAGCTGCATTCCCCAGAAAAAAACTCTTTAAAAATGTTGGCTGGGAACAGTTGATGGTGTTTTACTGTTCTGATCTGACCCACAAACCATGCACAAAACCAGCACATTACCTTTGGGCACATCCTTTGCTCTCTGAATGCAAATTTGCTGGGCAGATTTGTTGCAAGATGATGGCCCATGGCAGGGCTTACAGGGCTTGAAGGCCAAAGATTTGGGGAATGGTGTCCTAAGGAAACCCTTGAGGAGCACAACCCCCTTGGTTACCATTTCTGGAGGTTCTGTGCTGCCTCCAGAAACTGTACAGAAACATCTCCAGAAGTTCAGGGCACCTCCCTGAGGTGTTGGGGTGGCTCCCCAGGTATCCCTGGGCTCTGCTCCAGTGCTGTCCCTGCTCCAGAAGCCTGTGGAGATGCACCCTGATGGGCCACATCCAGCTCTTGTACATCTGCATTTTCTCTGGGTCTGCATGGAGCTCACTTGGCATCCAGGCCGCATGTCAGCACTGCCCCAGGGAGGAGAAAGCTCTGTCAAGTTGGAGTTCTCACCACTGAGAAATGTTTAATTTCAAAAGCAATTTCCTTCCACCTAACAAGAAGTATTCCTTCTGGAGTGAGAATTCCCTCAGAACACTGGCTGGGGCTGAGCACTAACGAATTCCTCTTCTCTCTCTTTTTCCCTGCCTCTCCTGGAATCTGTAGCATCTCGTAAGTATAATCTTCAGTTTTTATTTCCTTGTCTGTTGGTGTCCTGGATAAACTCTCCTTTCCTCTCCTCTCCTGTCCATCATATCCACTCATGCTTTCCCTGTGCCAGGGGCTGTCTCAGCTGGCAGGAGGTTAGGTGGCTACACCTGTAGGCCTACATGGATCACACCACAACCGCCCCCATCTTCGAGGTGCAGACCCCAGTTGTTGGCACACTTTTATCCCTCTCAGTCCTGGTGTGCAGAGGGGCTGTGTCTGCAGCTCCCAGGTCCATTCTCTGTAGCAGGGATGGGGCTGCTCAGCCCTGGTCTTTGGGCCACGCTCTGATCTTTGCTTGTCCAGCCCCTGCCCTGGGGAGTGAGGAGCTGTGGTTTGGTGAGTTCTGCCTGGCCCTGCCCCGCACTCAGGGCTGTCCATCCCTGGGCAGCACAGTCTCTGTTGTCTGCTGAGAGCTTTCCTGTCTGTGTTCCGTGTCCTCTGCAGTTCAAAGCTGTGGAGTTGGTTAATGGCTTGAAATGGTTTCCCAGGGCGTTCAGGGGCTACGCAGAGAGGAAGAGACGGAAACGGGAGAATGATTCCGCAGCTGTTATCCAGAGGTAGGGCCCCTTCCCTCCCGGAGTGTGACCCTGCCTGGTGTTGCATGGGCCCTTTGGGTGTCAGCAGTGAACCCTGATGGCATTGGCTGTGTCCCTGTCTGTGTGCTGTCCATAGGGACACTGGCAGTGGCCGTGTAGGAACTGTGGAGGTGAAGAGCTGATCTCCATCTTCTTAAAGAACACTGTCAAGTTTCTTATAACATTCCAAATATAATATACATGATCTGTGTCTCAGGCAGAAAAATTTAAAAAATTAAAGATGCAATTTCCCAGCCTTCTCCCAAATACTTGGAATTTTATGTCATTATACAATGGTTTGGGTTGGAAGGGACCTTGAACATCATCTACTTCCAACTCCTCTGCCATGGGCAGGATTTGGTTGAGGTTAGCTGAATACTTTTTTGTGCTGCTGCTGCATCTACAAAAATCTGAGACTTAGGCAAAATTAACATCTCTAGTGACAAGAAGCCTGTTTTTTAATCTTTTTTTTTTTTTCAATAATAGGGAAAAAAGGGGGATGGGGACTGATTCCTTTTCCATGTATTACACAAAGGCCTGATTTCCCTCTGCAGGCCTCCTATGGCACATCACTTACCCACAGTGGGAATCAGAACTGGTTTGTTTTTTTAAATGTGCCAAGGCTCGTGTATTTTGGCAGCCTACTAAAAAGGGTAACACAGTGTTTGTGTCATTGCTTAAAAACTGCCATGATGACTTCACTGCTCAAAACCAAGTGGGAGAAAAACATCAGGTTTTTTTATCTGGGAAATTGCCAGGCAGACTTTTTTTTTAGCAGCTCAAGGGTGGTGTGTTTTTTTAAAACAAGAATGAAGAGAAATAAAAATCAGTACTAAAGACGCTCTCAACAAATAGACAGTGGATCTTTAAAAAGAGGGAGATTTCTCAGAATCTGGAAGACAGAGGCAAGTCTTGGTGAGGAAGTGGCTTGTTCATGTGGGCTGTGAGTACAGGAGCAGGAGCTGTGTGCCTTGGTGGTGCTGTGAGGGGAGGATGGAGTCACCTCATCCTTGTGTTGGGTGGCCAGGATGTCCCTTCACCTCCTGGACTGAAGGTCCAGGCAGGGCTGCACAGCAGGAGCACATCTGTGTTTATCATGTCCCAAAGAGGAGGGAGGACAGCAGTGATGGGATGTTGGCTAGGCCTTGTGGAAGCAGACCCTGCCCAGTTACAAGGACTGCTGGCAGTGTTCAGCTCCCTTCTCCAGGGAGTGAGGCAGACCCCAGCCCCACCTCACTTCTGGGTGCTTGTTGTGTCATGGCCTCGGGGGTTTTGGGATTCAGTTGTTGTTGCCCAGCCCCTTCAGTCCTTGACCCTGGGAAGCTGGTTTGTGTGGCCTGGCACACAGGGATGGCTCTGGTGCCCAGGGAGGCTGGAGTGCATGGCATGGCACCCAGGGATGCTGCCTTGGGACTCAGGGATGCCCAGAGTGAACCGTGTACCCGAACAGCCAGGGAGGGGAACGGGAGAGCTGCTGCCAGGAGTGTGGGTAGAGAAAAGGCTTCTCTGCACAGTGTGGTGACCCACTGTGGGCAGAGCTGCAGAGTGTGGAGTGAGGCTGTGGTGTTTTGGAGGCCCTCTGGCTGGGATGGAGACCCTGGAGGGATACCTGGGATGGAGACCCTGGAGGTGCCGTGGGGTCGTGCCCGTCAGGCAAACTGGAGCCTGTCAGGAGGAGCACTGGTCAGAAAAGGGAGTAACAAGGAGATTTTGTCACTGAAACTTGAGGATTGCTGGTTGTGTTGTGATGGGTGAAGAGATCTTGCTAGTGATAAGGGACACAGGGGTTTTGGTGCAGTTGCAGGAGCCAGGCAGGAAGGCTGGGCAGGTTTATGGAGCCCCACTGCTCACAGAGCAGGTTGCACCTTCCCCAGAGCCAGTCCTGCCGTGCTGACATGCACATACAGAGGGGTCTGAGGACCCAGACAGCTGCAAAAAGCCCTCAGAAGGATCTGGATGCCCACAGGATGCCCACATTAGGAGTCAGTCCCAGGCTTGCACCTCCTTTCCAAAGTGCTGTTTTTTCTAGAAGAGATGAGAAGGAGCAGAAGTTCTTCATCCCATTCTCTGAGCGTTTAGTGTGGTTAACCCTGAGCAGCTGGACTCTCCCTGGAGCTGCTCTGAGCAGGATTTAGGTCTCTCATGGGAGAACCCAAGCTGTCTGGGCAGCTGGGAGCAGTGTTCTTCTGTGGCAAGCACTGCTTTACCCCTCTGCCCTCAGGGTCTGAAGAATCTCCTCTGTGGAGAGGACAACTGAGCGTTTAACAGAAAAGGGGATTTTACTCCAAAATACCAAAAGCCCAAAGGATGTAACAGTGGCCTTGGCAGTTAACATTGGTGCTCAGTGTCTGGTTTGGTCTTGGGCTCACAGTGGACCACAAAGATTTTCATTCTGATGAGTTATAACATATATCTAAGACTTTTTCTTTGTGTAAAGCGCAGCCCTGGTTCCCTTGAAATGTTGTATTTATTTGGATTTGAATCTAATGCACAGTAGGACAGACCCCACTATCAGTCATGGTGCACCCCAGAAGGTTTTGTGTGTTGAGCCAGCTCAGATGTGTCAGTAGATGTGTCTAAAGGGGTAGTTTTCTGATCCACAGCAGTGACTCTTCATGTACTCAATTACAGATATAATAAATCTTTGGAAAACATTAATAACCCAAGTGCAGATGGAAATTTGGCATGAAATCATGTTGCTTCCAGCTGCTAGTTTTCCTTCTTGAGCTGCTGAATTTGGATCCTGATGACAACAAGGGATCCAGGGCCTAAGTGGGGAAGTGCAGAGGGTGATGTGGGTTAAGTGCTCTCCCACAAGGACTGTGTTTGTGTGGATCTCCCTGTACAGGAGCAGAGGTATCCAAATTTCTCGGAACAACTTCACATTGGTGCTGGAAGTGTCTCCTGGTCCAGTGCTAAAGCATCTGCATGGTTGTAACATGTCCCTACTCACCCCACTAACCTGTGTGTGAGCCAGACAACTTGGCATTGACCCCTTTCACCAGCTGTAGTCTCTGTTGCTTGGTGTCTGTGGTGTGTGTTGGGGGGCAGAAGGGAATCCAGGAAGGCTCCCTCACTCCATGTAGGTTCCCTGACATCCTGGGGCTGCACTGTGGGGTGAAGTCACCCTGACTAAGTAGGGTTCATGGAGGGGTGACACTTCTCTTGGTAGTCCACATGCTGCTCCTCCCTCTGTCTCTTCTGCTGTCCTGTTTGATTCCTGTCCTGTTCCTGCCTTGGTGAGTGATGAGAAACTAAAGGAAACAGGTCCCTTGCTCTCGGAGGGGCTGGACAAAGAATCCCTTTGCCATGGCCTCTCAGGCGTGGCCAGGACACTGTTTTACACAGATATGACTGGGGGGTGTAGCTGCTCCCCAGGGATTACCCTCTGTGGGTTTTCCCTGGAGCTGTGTGCTCTGCAGCCCCTCTGGCCCTGCCTGTGAGTCCTGGGCAGGGCAGTGGGGGTGGCAGCTGCAGCAGAGAGCAGGTCCCTGGGGACAGCCAGCATTGCTCAGTGCTGCTGTCCAAGGAGGGACAGCCTGCTCCAGCCTTCCCAGCATGGTTCCCAACAGCAGGGGTGAGATCTGAGCAGCTGCAGTGTTTGGGGATGAGCACAGCCACAAGCATGGTGTGTGCAGAACCTGGGCACCTCACACTCCTGCTGAAGCAGGATAGAGGGGAGCAGGCACTGCTCTTTACTAGGAGAAGAGGGAACATTCCCAGCATGGGCAGTGGGTGCACTCAGCAAGGTACAGCACAGCTGTGCCTCAGTCACAGGAAAGGGAGAGTGGGCTGAGAGCAGGGGGTGCCATGTAGGACCCCCCTTGCCCTGTGCCAGGGAGCTCACAATAGTCCCCAGCACTGGGGACCTGATCTCCAGTTTTTGAAAGCCCAGAAGGAAATACACCATCATCCCCATTTTGGTTTTGTTCCTCCCGTTTTTTCAGTCCTGCTGGGCCCAGGTGTTGCTTTGTGTCACCTTCCTCAAAGGTTGTGTTTGGCCTTTCTTTCAGGAATTTTCGGAAGCACCTCCGCATGGTGGGGAGCCGAAGGGTTAAAGCACAAAGTAAGTGAGCACCTGTGGGCTGTGGCTGTGAGGAGCTGGGGTTTGTGCTGGAGGGACATGGGGAGCTCTGTCCCGTGCAGCTCTGGGTGGAAAGGACCTGGCACTGGGCTGGAGAGAGGATTTGACCTGCTGGTGCCATTTATCCTGCAAAAATGAAGGCCAGGCTGCTGCAAGTCTCTGGGACACGTGGATGTCTCCAAGCAGCCTGAAAGTTACTTCCAAGGACCCTCTGCCTTGGCTGTGGGAGATCTTTGGTGCAAGGAATGGAAGGAAAGCTGCAGCATCCTTGGCCTGCGTGTGGGTTTTGGTGGAGGCTTGTGAGGAGAACCCGAGCTGGGAGTTGAGCAGAGCTGGAAGCACTGCCTGGGCTCCCCTGCAGCTGGGACCAGCTGTGCCTCCTGGGGTGCTCAGTGCTCCCTGTGCCATGCAGGCTGCTGGCTGTCTCCTTCTCCCACTGCCACCTCCACAGCAGGACCTGGGGAAAGTTGCCTGCTGGGAGCTAAGAGGATGATGGAAGGGAGGAAGAAGAAGAACAGGGAAGAGACTGGAGCAAGGGGGAAATAAGGGAGTGTTGTGCCTCACAGGGGAAGAAATCCCCTCTTAGGCCTGGGAAATGGCAGTTCCCTTTCTCTGCAGAAGGCAACACTCCTTCATAACTTGGTTGGGGCAGCACCCTTGTCTCTGTGAAGTGGGCTGAGAGTGGTGTAACCTGCTCCTGAGAGCTGAGGATTGCTCCAGAATGGAAAACAGCTTGTTCTTCCCACCCCCTGGCCAGGCATCGTGTACAGACTGCCCACAGCAAAGCACTGCTGAGTTCAATTTGCATTCTTTCCTCTCTCATATGCTGTGGGAAGTGATCAGCAAAGAGCTTTGCCCTTTCCAGAGTCTTTGTTGGCATCTGAGTTAGCACTGCCTGACGTGGCCAGGGCTCACCTCCCCCAGAACTGTGGGGAAGCTCAGGCATGTCTCTGCCTCTGGAACTCTGGGGTCATGTTTTCAAAGCTTTCTTTGTGTGCACAATACCTCAGTGCCTGGTTTAAATGCAAACTGAGGATGGAGGTCACCTGAAGAACTGAAGATGTGATTTCTCTCCCTGGACACCCACCCTGGACACACTGCAGGAGGGGACAGGTCACACCCACCCTGGACACACTGCAGGAGGGGACAGGTCACACCCACCCTGGACACACTGCAGGAGGGGACAGGTCACACCCTCCCTGGACACACTGCAGGAGGGGACAGGTCACACCCACCCTGGACACACTGCAGGAGGGGACAGGTCACACCCTCCCTGGACACACTGCAGGAGGGGACAGGTTGCTTCTCAGCTCTTGTGATACAGACCTGCAGTGGATTCCTGTGCTGCTGTTACTCGATACCCTGCTGCAAACTCCCTGTCTGCCACCAGAAATAGGTATTAGTGGCTGTAAGTACCTGTTAATGTCGGCATAATGGCTCTCACATGGGCTTGCCAAGTCAGACATGGTGGTTGGCACTTCCCAGGAATTTGCCTGTGGTGCAGCCAGCTGGGCCAAGCTCCCTGGATTCCGACTGGGAAATGCCAGCACAAACAATACAATACTCCTTGGGAAAAGAAAACAAACCAGAGGTAGTGCTCACAAGAGTGCAGGCAAGCAAAGGCTGAAGGATTTCCTCTTTTGCAATGAAAGTTAGAAAGCATGAGATTTCCAGAGACGTTCCTGTCCTGCTGTTTGGTCCAGCTCGGATTGGGATGAAGGGATGAAGAACATGAAGGGAGAACTGCCTGGAGAACTACTGCCTTCTTCTGGTCATAGAGGTCATTAGCTGTGCAGTGCATCTTCCTGGGAGGCCTTTGAGTCCAAGCACTTACACTGGGACACCGGAATAGCTTTGTTAAATTGAGGTTTGAGCTGTGAGCCATTTAAGGAGAGACCATCAAGTGTCATCCACTTTCTGTGTTACCCACCCTGTCCTCTGCAGGGCACTTAGTCTGGGCTGTGCAGAAGAGAGACCCGTGTTTGTTGTGTGGAAAGGACTCACGTTTGGCAAGTGGAAGGACAAGCCCAGGGGAGTCTGTGATGTGTGGCTTTGGTGGAAATCTACTGGCTGTTTTGTTTGGTGGCAGCAGCAGAGGTGGCTTTGGGATCTGTTAATGTCCTGCTCTGGTTTTATCCTAGCCTTTGCCGAACGGCGTGAGAGGAGCTTCAGCAGGTCCTGGAGTGACCCGACTCCCATCAAAGCTGATTCCTTCCATGACTCTCGAGAAAGTGAGTTCTGAGTCCTTCCTCCTGTGGGCAAACCCTCCAGTGGAGGTGTTGACTGGAGTCCCACTGGAGTAACTCCTCTGTGCCCTTCTGTCCTGTCTGTGATCCTTTTAGTTTCCTGAGATCGGAGCACGTAACGCTCCAGGTGTATGTACCTGTTCATCTGTGTGTCCCTCTATTCGTTTGTAGAGCACAACCCAGCTAACCTCAGGTTATTAAGCAGTTGCCAAAGGATAGTAGTGGTACAGCTCTCTTACAGCCCTCTGTTCCCATCGTCCCTTATTTCCTTGGGACCCAAACAACCCACCTGGAAGCTCTCCAGTCCACGCCTACCTTCACCAGAGTGGGGCTGACTTGGCTTCCCATGCAGGAGCCCCTTCTGAGCTCTTCTCTAGTCTGGAATAGCTCCAGAACAACTGAAATGCTCTGTGAAATGGAGCTTTGATTTCCTGGCCGTGCTGCCTGCACAGGTCAGGCTTGATAGGTGATGATCTTCATTTGGGCTGCCAGGAATTCCTCTGGGAATCCCCAGTAGTGCTGCCATGTTCTGCTTGTGGGGACTGAGATGCTGTTGTGCTAATTTACAGGAGGAAATGCCAGCATCTTCCCACTGTATTCTTCTAGAGGGAATGGCTGTTTTACAAAGATTTTACAAAGATTTTACAAAGCCTGTAGGCAGGAACTCGGTGGTTATGAGTTTGCCCACGTTGAAATGGATTTCACTAATGAAATGACCTGACCTACCAGGTAAGCGTGAGATCTGGCCCTGCTAGCTGTAGGGGGAGGTGTGTGAAAGGCAGGCCAAGTTCAAAACATGACCTGCTTGCTGCTTGGCAGTCTGATCCCTCCCTGCTCCCTCAGCTAACCAGAGGAAAAGCCGTGGTTCAGACAGGCTGCAGGCACTGCCCAGCGACACTCGGACATCCCGACAGGCACAAAGAGAGGCACCTCGGTTCTCTTTCCTCAGTCCAGGAACCATCTCTATTTTTAACCTTTAATGGTCAATTATATTCCTTCCAGATGTTTTTTTCCCCAGGAGGCATTGAAGGCCAACAGGTAAGGTCAATTTGGAGAGCAAATTCAAGTCCACTGTTGCACTATGATGTGTTTGCTGCAGCTGTCCTCACGCACGCTCTAAGAATTCTCTGCCAGGATCAGTCTGACCAACAAGGCAGATTTGCTTTACAATCCCTCAAAAGATGTAGTCAGAGCAGTAATTACTACAAGGAGACCAGCTTTGAAGTGTTTGAACTTTTGCTTATCAGCTTGGCAATGCTGAAGTGTAGAGAGCCTGTCTGTGTTCTGTCTCCTTCTCCATTTCTGGAATGACGGGGTGACTGTTGTGAAAGCTGAGCCTGGTGACTGTGAGGGTGATGAGGCTCTGTGATATGTGGTGTGGAGCTCTTCGTGCACTCTCCATCCGTTCCGTGTCTGTCTGTTTGGAGACACCAGCCCCAAAGTGTGGTGTCTGTCCCTCTGGGGAAGGCAGGAGGGCACAAGTCTGGTGGCTTGTGGAGCCTCCTGGGAGGAAGCTGCCAGGATGGATGGGGAAGGCTGTTCTGCCCTGGTAATGCTCCCTGTGTCCTGGCAGGCCATGACCTTCAGGATTCCTGCGGCACTCTGGAGGGTGACTTCGACTTGAACTGGGAAGCAGAAAAGGAACTTGAAGCCATGGCATGTGACGGAGAAGACTTTATTCCACCAAAAATAATGGTGAGGGTTTCCAGCTCAGCTGTCTGTGTCTACTCAGGCTCTGTCTGTCCTTTCAGAGCTAAGTTTAGGGTCTCCATGGGAAGAGGCAAGTCTGTTATGTAGGCAATGCCTCAGGTGTGTGTGAGGGTCACCCAGAGATCAGCCAAGACATGACACGGTGTTCAGAGCTGTTATTGCTGGGGTTAATGTGTTGACAGAAAACTAGAAGGAAGGACCTGTAATCCAGATCAGAGCAGGACTGACACCAACACAGAGTCAAGTCAGCCTGAGTCTGTTTAACCCTGAAAATGGAGACCTGAGTCCCCAGTCCCAGCAGTCCCTCTCTCCTGTTGTTACTTGCCTGATTTACTTTGAAGCTGCATGTCATTCCTTGGGATGGTTTCTCTCTCTTGCTATTCCTTGATTCCAACCTTCCCCCTGTGCTCCCCTGCTCTGCTCTGTGGGGTTTGGCAGACAGGGCCAGGTTCTCACACATCCCTTCTTGGCCACATGCACGAGGCAAAATGGGGTCTGAGGCTTCCAGCCTGTTGTCAGGGCAGCACTGCCAGTCCAGCACAGCAGTGCTGGGTTTGAATGGGTCCTGCTAAGATCTGGGAAGAGTGAAGGACATGGAGACTGTGTGTGTGGTGGTTGTCCATCCCTGGATATATATATGGAGTGTGTGTATATATATATGTGTGTGTATATATATATATATATATATATATATATATATATATAAAATCTGTGCTGCTTCAGAAGTGTCCCAATAACTCCATGTGGCTGGAGCACAGATGTGCTGCCTACTGGGATGGGGGGCTTGGGCACCAGCCCCAGCTGGAAGCCAGGCTGCACTTCCCAGTCCACCAGCAGCACTGCCTGCTCTGCTCTCCCGGGGATGAATGGAGGTGCCTGGAATCACAGCACAGTTGGGGCTCTGGTGCTGCTGGAGCCACCTGAACCTTCAGCCAGAGTTGCCAGATACCTTCCTGATGCCTGTGACCCTGAGCCTGATGCAGTGTCCCACCAGCAGCCAGCCACTCCTGCCTTTTGAACACTCCCTGCACTCCCTACAGCCAGAAGGGAGTCTGTACAGGAGGGATCCTTACTGGGATACAGCCATTCCTGGGGATACAGCCATTCCTGGTGACACATCCTCTGTGCACACCAGCCTCCCCTTCCCAAACTGTTCTCTCTGCTGCCTGTGAGGCAGAGCTGTGTGCTCCTGTGTTGGGGTCCAGGAGATGGTGACACAGGGGGTACTTGACAGGCCTGGGATGCTCTGTGGTGGAACAAAGGCTGGAATACCTTCCACAGGGATGCAGAGAGGCTGGATTAGCTGCCAGGGCACTGTTAGCAGTGGATTATGTGCTTCTGTCCACACTGTACTACCTTCTCCTCATGCTATTACACCTTTTTTTTGTCTCTTCCAGCTCATTTCTTCCAAGGTGCCCAAAGCAGAGTATGTCCCAACCATTATCCGCAGGGACGACCCCTCCATCATCCCCATCCTCTATGTAAGTAAATCCCTTCTGCTGTGGCTGGGAACAGGCTTCATATTGGGAATTTTTTATTTGATAGTTCCTGTTATGGTCTCTCCAAAGCACTGGTGTGATTTGGAAGAGCTGCCAGGGAGGGGCTGGGGCTGTGCTGAACCCAGTTTTGGGGTCTGGGGTGGCTTTGTGGGGGCTCAGGTCTGGGCAGAACAGGAAGGTGGAGTGAAAATGGCACATGGGAGTTGTTGGGCTCTTCAGGCCCAGCCAAGCTGCATGGGGAGGTTATCAAGGGAAGGCAGGGCAGGTTGGATCACAGGCAGAGCTCTGCATTGTCAGGCTTAGGGCTCCTCCTTATGCTCATCCTTGGGATGAGCAGGACTTCAGAGCTCAGCAGTGAACACAAACCCCATCACCCCACGAGCTGTGGTGCATCCCTGCCAGTCACTAATTTAACTCTGATTTTTCTCTGGGAATCTGGCCTGAGCAGGTGTCTGAAACAGCAGGAAGGAGTCATGGGTCTCTTTTTCCTAATGACTTATTCACTTAATTTGAAAGGGAAGGTGGGACTGACAGCCCAGAGAGCCCTGTGTGCAGCAGGCAGTGCTGCTGGGGGCTCAGCCTTGCTGCCTCCCTTCCTTGGGGAGTTGTGCAGTTGTCCTGATGATCCTGCTGTGCCAGAGGCACTGTGTTGGGATGTTTGTCAGCCAGCTTGGACGTGGGGAAAACTGGCTGCAAAATGTGGGCCAAGAGGCAAATAGGCATTGCTGGTGCTGACTGCATCTGATGGACAGTCTGTGCTTTGGATGTGTCTGCAGCCTTCATTTCCAAGCCTTTGGGTGGATTTGGTCTTCATGGGCAGTTGAGCCTTCAGCTTCTGTGCTGAAATGTGATTTAGGGTGGTGATTGCTGTGCTGTCACTACCAGCCTTCAGTTGGTGTAACTGCTCTTAGAGCATCTGTTGGCCTGGGAATGGGATTGTGTGCAATATTAGAGACCATAATGCTGTCATGGGAGCTGATGTAGTGACAGTGAACCTTTGTGTGTCCTCTGTCTTGGTTTCCAGGACCATGAACATGCCACCTTTGATGACATCTTAGGTACGTGAGTGTTATTTCCTTTTCTTGCTTCCTGCCCATTGTGAATGTAACCCATCAATGTGTCAGTCACTCAGCTGCCCTGTGCCTCAGCTGCCACTCATAAAGGTGTTTTTGCCACCCCAGTGACACATGACAGACAGTCAGCTGCTCTTGGATGTGCTGCTGTAATAAACCTTCACTTCTGTGGCTCGTTTTCTATGCCAAACTCCTGGTTTGTGGAAGGGAAACTGAGGCACAGGGCAGCAGGTACCTGTTCATTGCACCTGTGTGGTGGGTGGGAGCATGAACAGGGTCAGGAGGGCTGGCTCTGCTCCAGTGCCTGGTGCTGCACCATCCCTCCCCTGCCCTGTGACACACTGGGATTCCTGCTTCCCACAGCATCCCCGGCATGTAGGTGCTGAGCAGCTCTCCCAGCTCAGCCTCCTGCCTGCAGGACTGAAGTGGAAAGAAATAAGATTGATTTTTAACCTCCTCCATGGTTCATATTTTCTATCATATTTGGGGTTTTTTTGCAGAGGAAATAGAGAAGAAACTTAACATTTATCGCAAAGGCTGCAAAATCTGGAAGATGCTGATATTTTGCCAGGTATGTGAAAGTTTTTAAGTGCTTGGGTGATTTCTTACAAATTTGTCTTTTTCTACAGGGAGAATGAAGGAAGCAATATTCCAAAGTCAGGTTCCATTGGGGTAACTGCCAGTGCCCAGCTTTCACTTCCCGTTTCCCAGACACTGAGCAGGCTGGAGTTGCTGTGACAGCAGGAACTCAAACCTGATTTGGTGTGGCCAGGTCAAGAGCTGGGCTGGTTCTCAGCTGCTCTCGAGGAACCCCAGGCAAACCAGCATCAGCACAGACCTCAAAAGGGGATTCCAGAGACAGGAACAAGCATTTGCAGTGTCATGGTTATGGTTTCCATCCAGTTCCAGTGTGACAGTGACAGTGGTGCAAGCTGTGGGTCAGACTGGCAGATGGCTCAGCTGGAGGCCAGTGGAGGCAGGAGAGGGGTCAGGGTACAGGCTGGAGCTGTGGCTTGGACAGGTTCAAGCCCTGCTGGATCTGTGGCTTGCTGGGGATTTCCTTCCCAAGTCTCCTGTTCCCCGGGGTGGTCAGCTTTGGACTTCCCCAGCAGCTGTGCAGGGAACCTTGACATGAGAAATGAGGAAGAGAACCTGACTTGAACTCCCTCCCGTGTCCCCTGTGCTGCAGCATGGCAGGTTTGCTGCACACTGACCTAGAGATTGTGGCTTTTAATGTTCCTGGTGCTGTGCTCAGTCTGTTTATGCCTTTTGCTGCCCAAGGCCAGTTCCTCTGCAGTGCCATCATCCCTTTCCTGTTTATCCCTGCTGTGCTCAGCTTCTCCTCTGCCCACCACGGCAGGTCCCCCAGTGACAGGGGATGTCCCTTGTCCCCAAATGACACAGACTTTCTTGTCTTCCCTATTACTCTCCAGTGACTCACACCGACGATTTTTGTCTATTATTGTGCCTTTCTAGAGCAAGGTGGGCACAGAACAGTAAAAACTGGAGACTCCAACCCCCCCACTCCCCATGTGTGGATGTGCCCTGAGCCAGTGCCTGCTGCGGGGGGTTCCCAGCGTGGCTGCCCTGCTCCCTTGTGGCAGCTCCGGGAATGGCTGGGCAGGGCAGGAAATGCATCCAGGATTTTTATCCCCGGGGCCTGTGCAAAGGGGTTTCCACGTGTCTGCGTCTCTCTTGCAGGGAGGTCCCGGGCACTTATACCTGTTAAAGAACAAAGTCGCCACTTTCGCCAAAGTGGAGAAGGAGGAAGATCTGATCCTGTGAGTGGCTCTGTTGTGTTCTGGACTTGCATGGAGTTTTCCTGCTGGGTTTGCTCAATGTTTGCAGCACATGGCCAAGCAGAAGAGGTGAAGGGAGCTGGGGTGGGTTATTCAGGGGATGAGGAGGGGCTGTCAGCAGGTTGAAGCTCGTTCAGGGGGAGATGCAAAGGTGACAGAGCTGCAGCCCTGGTCACCAGGAGATTTGTGCTTCTGTCTGCTATTTAGTGTCTCTCTGGACTAGAGACTATCAAAAAAATTAAAAAAAAGGTATTTCCTCTCCTAACAAAGGCTGTGCTGACCAGAAACCAGAACATGCCCCTTGAGCCTCTGGTGCTCAGCAGTGGCTGCAGTGGCATTGCTGAGCAGACACCAGTGGCAGAAATCCAGAGTGTTCCCCCACAGCTGTCTCTGGTCAGGGGGAAGTGGAATTTGTCTCTGCAAAGCCTGCTCAAAGTCCAGCCTGTTACTGAGGAGGCCTTTCACTAACATGCCAGCCTGTCAGCTGGGATTGCTGAGGCAATTTTGCTTCTCCTTGTAGAGTTAAGCTTTGCCTGCTTTGCTGCCTACTCACTTTTGCTGGCTCAGACTTCCTTGGCTAATGGTGCTTGGCTGTGGGGGAGAGGATGTTACACCAACCTGTTCCTACACAACTTTTTGTTGGCGAGAGAACTGAGTATTAAAATCAACATCTGCTCAGCAATCCCGTGCTCTGGCACAAACACTGGCTGTAAAATCTTTGAGCACTTGTGCACATACACGATTCTGAACACATTCCAGGCATCATAACTGCTCCCAAGCCAATAAATCAGGGATCTTCAGAAAGCTGTGAACACACAGCTGAAAATTTGGGAGCTTGGCAGTGAATGTCTCCATGCAGCTTGTGTGTTCCTTGGGAGGCTGTCCTGAGGAAACCTGAGGCTGCAGGCTGGTTGGGAAACCCATGGAGGAACTGCTGGGCTTTAGAGCCCCCCCCAGCTCCAACCCTCTGCCCAGGGTTGTGTTTCACATCCCACCAGGTTCCTGGTCACAGTCACAGCACCTAAAGTGGGTCTGACTGTGACCAGCACCAAGCACAGGCTGACATGGAGCAGCCTGGGCTTGTGTTGCCTCTGTAGCTGTGGAGAACAACAACTTCTCCAGCTACTCCCTGCTGATTTCCTGCCCTGGAAATGAACCAGTGCACTGAGAACACTGGTGAGTAGAAAGGGCAGTTGTTGATAGAAATGGGAGAGAGGAAACTGGAGGGGATGCTTAGTAAAGCTGTCACTGCAAGAGCACTCCTGGTGGACTTTGCTCCCTTCTCTTCACCTTGGAGCTTCCTTGGCTCAGTGGGCTGCTCCTCCTCAGGCACATGACTTGGACCTGCTCCTCAGGCCCTTGCTCTGCCACTGCTCTTCCCTGTCTAAGATCCAATGGCTTTTCCTGAACACCCTTCTGAGTGGTGTGTGCACACATCCTTGGGATAAATCATGCCTATGAGGAGAGATAGTTTATATTTTAATTATTTATTCTGTATTTTCCTGTTTTTTCCAGCTTCTGGAAGAGGTTGAGCCGGCTGATGAGTAAAATCAATCCTGAACCAAATATCATCCACATCATGGGCTGCTATGTTCTTGGAAACCCCAATGGGGAGAAGGTAGGAGCTTCTGGATCAATTCTGGGTCTCCAGGAGTCATCTCTGTTTTCAGCTGCTAACTTTGATATATTTTCCTTTCAGCTATTTCAGAATCTGAAAAACTTAATGAATCCTTATAGGGTTGCCTTTGAGTCTCCACTTGAACTATCAGCTCAAGGTAATTTATTTTCTTTACAAAGCCACACACCCTCCTAACCAGCCTGCCTCCTTCAGGGGGGCATCTTCCTGAGAAAGCAGTTTTGAGCTCCCTTAAGTCCTGCCATGGTCTTTGTTTTGCCTGTAACCACCGTGTTTTCCTGGGTTTCCCCTCGCAGTTCCTCCATGTTCACACTTCATCTGTCCTGTGCCTGAGGCTCCAGAGCCCTGTCCCAGGCCACTGGCAGTGCAAAGTGGGCAGCTTTCCAAGCTGAGTGTAGGAGATCTGTTAATACTAGGACATGAGGAATATGTGGGAGAAATGCACATGGAGCAGAACCTTTTCTGTAGCCAGGTTCTCCAGGGCTCAAACCACTGGCACTGAAAGAGTTGTGTCATCAACAAGCAACTGGGATATGACCCATCAGAGCCTTTCTACAGCTCAGTCTCTTGGCTTTTTTCCCCTTTTCTGCCTGTAGCTCAAGATGTTTCAAGGGGCTACAGGATTTTTCCTGTTCTCTGCTCAGTGTCGGTAACTGGTGAGGTTTTACAAGCAGCAGATTCTGAGTTTGCCCTTGTTTTTTGTGTTTGCTGTATTCCTTGGCACTTTGTTCTCTTGGCAAATAAAACCACACAGCATCAGGCTGTGGGTGCTTCCTCAGCTGCTCCCAGCTGGCCTCAGCACTGCTGGGTTATTCTGAACTCCCCTCTCCCTCAGGAATGTGCAGGAGTTGAGCACTTTGGTGCTGCACAGAGTTCATGGAATCACAGAGTCCCAGACTGGTTTGTGTTGGAAGGGACCTTAAAGCTCATCCAGTTCCATGGGCAGGGACACTTTCTACTAAACCAGATTCTCAGTTCTGTGTGTGTGTCCTGCCAAGGTCTGGAGCAGCTGTACCCGCTGCCTGCAGAGATCCCACGGGGAACATGCTTGGACATGTGTCCAAGAGCAGCTTGCAGGGAGATTCCCAGGTTTGTGGGCAGCTCAGCAGGCAGGCAGTGGGCTCTGTGTGCAGGCACTGAGCAGTTGATCTTCCAGGAGGGCTGAAGAACACGGCTGAATTTATCCCCTTGGTCAGTCTGGGACGCAGTAATACTGTACCCTCCTAATCCTTTGCAAAGTCATCTAAAACTAATCTTAATCAGGCCTCACAAGCGAAAATCCCCTCCTTAAGCCCTGTCTGAGTGCAGGGTTGTTTGCCCTTGCATTTTCCAATGCACCCACTGCCTCCTGGGCACTGCCCTTGCTCTGTGAGTGCCTGTGAGACCCCCCTTTGATCAGAGGGGCTCAGAGCTGGCACTGGTGTGTCCTGTGAGCTCGTTGCTGGGAGCAGAGACAGCCCTGCAGCGCAGAGCTGGCCTGGTAATTTAAAAAAAAAAGGCATATTTTTGTTTGAATTTTCAATGTTAATTATTTTTAGTGTTTCCCACAAGTCTTTACAATGAGTTAACTCTTGGTTTGTAGTTTCTGAAGTCCCTGTGGCTGATCCTCCCCAGCCCCTGGCCCCAGCTCAGCACTCAGAGCAGAGAGGTCAAAGTCTGGAGACAGACTTTGTGCTCAGTTCCTTCCCCCATGGACAAACCCTGCCAGGGGATTACAAGGAGCCATTCATGGTTGAGGAGATCTGAAAAGATGTTTGGTTCTCACGGGCACCTCCGCGTGCCCCGGGGCAGGTGCCCAATGCCAGTGTTCCCCCAGGGAAGTGTCTGCATGGGTTCCTGTGCCCTGCCCACAAACCTGCTGGGGTTTTTGTGGTGCTGTGGCCTCTCCCCTGTGTCCCCCGTGCTGCAGGGTGTGACCCCTCTGCTCCATTTCACTTCTAGGTAAGCAAATGATCGAGACTTACTTTGACTTCCGCCTTTACCGCCTCTGGAAGACCCGCCAGCACTCGAAACTATTGGATTACGATGACATTTTATGAGCTGGAGAAGACTTTGCAAGAGGAAGCTCATCACCAGTGTCCAAGAAGTCATGCTTATTGCAGAGAGACTTTTTTATTGGCACAGGGAGCCCTTCAGAGCCCCACGGGAGCAGCAGTGCTAAAGGCAGGGGAGGAGGAGCCCTCGGAAGCGTGTCCAAGGAGAGTCTCCTGGGTCAAGAGAGACTGGAGGGAAAGGGGGTGACCCTGGCTGGCCCCAGTCCGAGCCCTGGGGTCTCAGGAGGAGCTGTGTGCAACGAGGACAGGATGGAGTTCCTGGCAGAACTGAGCTGTTTTGGGTCAGAATGGGCCAGATTTGATTCCAGGTCCTTTTAAAGACTTTTGAAGCTCAGGTTTTCTTACAAAAAAAAAATATAAACCCAGTTACCCATGCACTACGATGGAGAAGTCACCAGAGCACAGAGGGAGGAGGGGGTTGTACTGCTGGGACCTTCTGTGCTGAGGATCTCGGAGAGCAAGGACTGCTACACCTACTCCTGCAAGCTTAGAGCAAGACAACCCAGTTTCCATGTGAATATATACTGGGATATAGAATTGAAATCTTCTTTTTTTTGTTTTGTTTTGTTTAATAGAAAATAAGTGCAATTTTTATAGCAAAGGGTGGGGGTAAAAATCCCTCTCAATATTTAATTAGTTAAAAAATAACACACCATAACCAATAGATGAGGTATTTCTGGTCTGCTTGAAAATATATTCAGATTGGTAATATATCTTCTGTAGACATATTTAATCACCAGCAAACATGGTTTTAACATAACTTGGCAGACCCTGCATGTCTGCTGCATTGGTTTGGTTCCTTCCTTTCAGAGTAGCTGTGTTGCACTAACTGTACCTGCTCTCACGAATGTATAGTTCTCCTCCAATTAGCCACAACTTTATTACTTTCTATTTTGCTGCTTGCAAAACTATGGGACTTTAGTTTTGCTGAAATACTTTAGGTTAGGAATATGGGGCCTGGCTGGGGAAACCTCTGTCAGGCCCTCTGTGGTATAAAAATGAATTAGAAATTAATAGCCATGGTAATTACCTGTTCCTGCCAGTGCTTTGCTGTGTGCTGGGAGATGAGCTCCCTTCCCGACCTGCCACGAGGAGCAGCTGTTGGGACCCCTCTGAGGGGACTGTGCACTGAGGCATTTGGGAGAAATGCTTCTGGAGGAACAGGTTTGGAGCATGAGTTTGAATCTTCCCTGTGTTCACTTGATTGCCAGTTGTTTGTGCATAAAACACCTCTTTTTCCTTGCTGAAAGACCTGTTTCTTGGTCTGAGCTGTTCCCTTCCCTTCCTGAGCAGGACAGAGAAAACCCCAAGCTCTGTCAGACCTGAGAACCCAGGTCTTGATATTTGATGATACATTTTGGAATCTGTTTACTTTTTTTTGGTCAGGTCAAGGGGTGCTTTTTGTTTTGGGAAGGGCTTTTTTTTCACATTTGACTGTCCTTTCAGAGGATAAATAGTACTTAGAGTCTGTAGGTCACTGGCAATTCTGGGAGGTGACACAAATTACTTCTTTTACAAGCAAAAGAAGTAACAGGGAAGGATTACCTTGTTTTCCTGATTTCCTGTTATCTAAAATTAGTTGATTGTGAAGTGAAGGAAAATATATGTATAAATCTTCTTTTAACTACTTACAAAAAGAACTACTTGTTCTGATCTGTAGAGTCCTCCTCCCCCTGTGGTTGTGATTTTGGGGAGCAGGTCCCTGGCTAGAACTGCTGAACCCTTTACATTTATGGCAGTTTTATAGCAAAACTATTTTGAAGAAATAATGTACATACACGTAAGGAGAGGAATAAGTGGAGAGGGATGGTTTAAAGTTGTTGAAAGCCACATACTGAACCAAAGAGGTGTGGGCTGTTGCCTCCCCCTGGTTGGGAGCTCTTGGGAGCTGCCCTGACCTCGGGAGCTTTGGGAGCCTCATCTCATCCCTGGACTCAGGTTTGCCAGACTTGGAGTGAAGGGAAGAACAGGCACCAGTCTGTAGCTTTTGGAAGGAAATGCCAGATGTAAAAAAAAAAAAAAAAAAAAAAAAAAAGAACCCAAAATTTATGCCAATCACTATTTAATGTTGTGGCTCCCACCAGCTCTGAGGTGAGAGGTGGGAGCCAGAGGTGCAATGGAAGCACAAAGTCATGTTATCTGGAGAAGGAAATGGTTGTGGGAGGATTAAAATGCTGACACAAAACTCTCTCCCTTTCTGACCCTTTCACCTCCTAACTGGAGACAGACAAACTGTTCTTCCTTTCTCTTTCCTGAAGTGAAATCCCAATTCAGTGAACTTGGTAGCATGAATGTAGCATTGTGGAACTATTGAAAATCTTATTTAACCCCAAAAGGGCCCGTTTCTGTATCCACTGGAGTGATTTCTCTGTAGAACTGTTGTATATCCTCACTGACCACTTGTAGAACTTGGGGTGCAAAGTAGAAGGTAGATTGTACAGTGACTCCTGTGGGAAGATGTGTGTTGGAATGGACACTGTGGACTGTTTTCCTGGTGCAGTTTATAGGATAATGAGAACTGATGAATGCATTTCCCTCCAAAGATCTATATTCCTCATAGTTTGTGATGTTTATGACATGAGCATATTATTTCCTTTGTAGCCTTCATTTGCCTAAAGGGAGGAAATATTCTCAGAGCTGTGACTGGAACAGAGTTGTGATGTTTGACATCCTGTGTGGAGCAGCATCCTTGGAATTAACCATTGGTGACAGAGGAAAACACATTTCTTGCCCTTTTTCACCGGTTGAGCTTTTCAAGTGGCTGCTGGGAAAGGAAGGGGTCAGCAGAGGAAAATAAAAATTGTCATTATTTAAACTTTAGAGGTAAAAATAGAGCCTGGAGCTTCCTCAGTGGGACCAGCCTGTAAAGAATGATGAGCTGTGGGTGTGTGCTCGCTGCCAGCGCCCGGCACAGCCCCAGCCAGGACATCTCTGAGGCCCAGCACTGCTTCCCTGTGTGCTCCTGCAGCATCTCCCTGGGGATGCCAGGGCCAGGGCAGTGCCCACAGGCACAGCTCCCTGTGCATCCCTGCGTTATCTGCCCTGGGAATGCCAGGGCAGCACCCGTGGGCACAGCTCCATGTGCACTCCTGCAGTATCTCCCCTGGGATGCCAAGGCCAGGGCACAGCTCCCTGCAGTGCCTGCCTGGGGCAGCTGTGGCTGCTGGGCACACAGGACAGTTTGTCATCATTCCACTTCCCCCAGCTCCTCCCAGCCCTCAACAGCTCAGCCTGCTCTCGGGGTGTGTCTGGAACCAGTTGTGCTGTCAGTAAATGCTGTGAGCTGTGGCTTGGTCCTGCCCCTGTGCTCTGTCAGGGCATCCACCACCCTCTGTTACACTCAATCCCTCCCCAAGGAACTGCTGCTGCAGCTCCTGTGTGCTCTGGAATTGCATTTCCCAGGGGCAGGAGAGCCCTGGTTACCCCTGGAGGGAGGCAGATGGACCTGGGATGGCTGAATTGGGTTCCAGCCCTGGCTGTTCACCAGCCAACAGTGGAGGTTTGTGCTGCCCTTGCTGTGAGGCAGATTTATCCAGCCCCGTGTGTGGATAAATGTGTTATGGCCTGGGCTGGCAGTGTCACCTCCAGGAGGGGAGAAGGGTAGCAGGAGGGGCTCAGCCTGGCTCACCTGCTGGGAGTGGCCCCACCATGTCCTCTGGTGCCTGCAGGGAAATGTTCACTGAGCTGTAAAGGCCTGGGGGGATCATTGTCTTCTTGGTTGTGGCACTTGTCCTGTACAGGGGTTTTCCTCTTGTTTGGCTGGGAAGGAAAGGGAAGAAGAAAATTCAAGTTACCTGAGGGATATAGGAACAGGTAGAAAACTGAGATAAAGCTTTTTTTACCTTTCCTTGTGCTGCAGCCACCAGCTTCCCTTTGCAGCTGACCTCCAGGGCTGGGGTGGGAAACAGATGAACTCCCAAATAATCCCTTCCTGTGTTGAAAAAAAACCAAACAGAAAAGTCCTTGTAGCTCCAGCAAAACATCTGACTGCAAAAGGCCCCCAGGCAGCTCATCGTGCCCGTGTGAGGACTCTGCTCTGTGCATCCCTGGGATCCCACCCTGTCCTGCCTCTGAGTGCCTCTGGAGCCACCTGAGCCATGTCCCACAACCTGAGGAGGGGCTCTGCTGATCCTCTGCACGGGGGACCCCCAGAAGGAATTTGTTCTTCATTTCTCAGCCTGCACTTGGTGCCTGGAGCTCAGCACAGGGTTCCTGCTCCAGGGGCTTCTGGAGTGTGTGTGTGTTCCTTCCTCACACACAAGCCCTGTCCCTGGTCAGGGGAGCTGCTCCCCTCCATTGCCTTGTGCAGTGAGAGGCAGTGACGTGTCCCTGCTGCCCTGGCACCACTGCAGAGCCTGGCACACACCCACCCACAGAGAGCTGTGGCTGCGCTGGTGACCCGGCCCTGGGAGTTCCTGTTCCCAGGCTCTGCTGGCAGGGACTGCAGGGCTGCCTTGGCACCTTCACACAGCACGAGTGGGGTCAGCTGGAAGGATGGAAAGGGCTGATTCTAAACAGCCAGCCTGGCAGGATCTGGAGATGTGCCCTTAATCCCAGCCCCATCCTTAATCCCCCTGGAGGTGGAATGGCAGGCTTGGTGTAAGTGTAAACATCCAGCCCATCACAACCCAGTTTGAGTCACACCTGTGTATTATTTGTATGTTAGTTCAGGATAAGATGTGTTACTGTATGAGGAAAAAAGATCCTTCTGGGGGTCTTGGCAGTTGGCCCCTGCTGTCAGAACCCTCCATCAGGGGATGAGCTGGGCTGTGTCATCCTCTGGGGGATCAGGCCCCACTGCCAACACCAGGACAGGGATCTGCAGCTGCAGGTAAAGCTGAGCCTCTCTGTGCCCCTGGTTTGCTGTGCCAGTCCCTGGAGCTGGTGATACAGACAGTCCTTCCCGAGGATGCCAGTACCCTCCTGAGGGATGTGGAGTGGCAATATCATCTTCCACGTCATCTGTAAAGAGCTGTTTGTGATCCTGTGTTTTGTCCCACTGGCCACAGCGGATCTGTGGCTTTCTGCATCTTCCATGGAAGTGTTTTTTAATTCTCATTGTGGAAACACAAGCCAAAGGCAACTGGAAACTTCTGTGGGCGAGTCAGCCTGCTAATGGTATCATATATGGGAGCTGAGTGAGCAAATGGGTGGTTTAATGGCCATGAACCTGACTGGGGTCATCGTTACTCCCAGGTGATCCTGCTGTGTAATTGGCAGAGTTAACAGTAAGATAACCTCTTACTGAGGCAGTGCATGATCTGTGAAAGAGCAGGAACCAGCAGCAGCTTTGGTTCAGAAATAACTTCAGCCCAACCCACTGCCAGTCAGTGTGAGAAATGTAAAGACTGGAGGGAATAAAACATTATGGACATTAAATGTAAAGAATCCATCTGAAGAGAAACCACATTGCTGCTTTCCATAGATGTTTGGTAAATATTAAAGAACTAATACAACTTAAACATTCTTCACAGTATTGTATTGCTTTTGGAGTATCCTTAGAAGTGACATAGGTAAGGACAGATAAGACCCATCACAAGTTGCCCTATATTCCCAGAGTGGGGACAATAACTCAGTTGACTGGGCATTCCAATCTTCCTTCTTTATCTCAGCACCCCAGTGAACTGGTGATTAGTCACAGCAGCAATGGCCTATAAACCTTTACAGGAGGGGCCTCTCCACCTGCACTGCTGAGCAGAGAGAGAGAGAGAGACCCCCAAGCACCTGATGGAGCCGAGTGTTGGTCCTGTGTCCCCAAATGTTGGCCCTGTGTCCCCAAATGTTGGCCCTGTGTCCCCAGGTGTCAGTCCTGTGTCCTGGAGTGGCCCCTGCTGTGCTTCACCCAGTCCATACAGCCATACCCTCGGGCACAGCCCCTGCCCTGCTCCCCCCTGTCGTGGGGAGTGTGTGTGGCCAGGTGGAGTTTTCCTCCCTGGTCACTCAGGGATGTGTTGAGTTGTGCCTGGGGAACGTTTCTCACCTGGGGACACTGAGCTGTGGGGGCTGTGACAGCCAGGGACTGGGCACTGCCACCATCCCCCTGGGCTCTGGCTCGGGATCAGCTCAGATGCACATCAAGGGGTTCAAAAAGCTTCAGTAGAAAGTGTGGAGTTATGAGAGAATTTTTTTCTAATTTATATTTTTAGTGCTAAATCTCTGTTGCAGCGATATAGTCACAGCTACAAGGTGCTCTTAAGGTGGAGGTGGTGCAGAGCTGGGAATTCAAGGACAGGGATCTTTGCCCTGACATTTGAAATGCCCCAAAAAGCTGGCAGATAAGCACAGCCAAGCAAGACCCCTGAGCACAGATCCTGCTCCCTGTGCCCCTGTGCTGAGACCTGACTGTGCTGGGTCCTCAGGTGGGGATGGCTGAAGGAACCGAGCGAGTTTGGTGTTCCCCACCCCAGGGAACCAGGCTGGAGTCGTACCCAAATGAGCTGAAGGGGCTGTGCTTTTTCTGCTGTGTATTTCCTGTTGTTCTTTAATAACACTATTCCTGGAACTGGGCTGTGATACCAAGCAACAACAACCTGAGTTGTCACAGGGCTGGGAGTCAGTGCCCTTTGGGATCAGCAGAGTTCAGGCATGTTTTCATTTCCAGCTCCTTTACTCAGCTGCAACCCCTCCCTTTGCTTCTGCAGAGCTGAGTGAGGGGCATCAGCAGCTCTCTGAAAAGAAAACAAAAGCCTGAGTAGCAGGCTTTGGACATGGGCCTGGTAATGTGGAGAAGGACAGGTTATGTCCAGCAATGCCCCTAAATTCTGAGATGTTAATGAGAAAAAAAAAGGAAGCAACATTATCAAAATAATGAGGAGGAATCCCAAATCACTGAAGTGTGATCGATCAGCTGACAAACCTTGTGAAGATAAAACACTCTGCTGACTGTGCCTCTGCTCTCAGCTGTGTTCAGAGGGAGCTGACAGCATCCCACTCCTTTCAGAGATGAAACTCAAGGGCAGGGCAGTGTGGCTGAGTCCGTCTGTGCTGCTCCAGCCAGGCTGAGTCTGCACTGCCCACGTGTGTCCGAGCACTCGGGCCCCTCTTTGCCCATCCCAGCTCAGTGGGAAGCTGAAGGCACAGCAGGTGCATAAGGAGCTGGAAATGCTGGCCCCAAGAGAGCCCCAGGGTTAGAGAGCTCAACCTGAGACAGACCAGTTTGGGGCCAAAACATGAGAGTTTTGAAAGCAAAGACTGTAAGCTCTGAGGTCTCGGTGGGTGCTGGAGCAGCTCCTTGGAAAAGTGAGAAGGAAGTTACCCCAGCACTCTCCCCAGCTTTCAAGGTGGTTCCTGGCTGCTGCTGCCCAGGGAGGAGTCTCTGCCACCTCCTCTGCCCCTGTTACTGGGTCCCTCTGAGGCTCTGCTACTTCACATGTGACAACCAGGCCTCGAGTACTGAATGTTTCTGGGGTTAAAGATGTGATTGAATAAAAACAGATGTTTCTGGGAAAGCAGTTTTTTTTCTCTTGTTCATTTTGTTGTTGTTGTTGCTGTTGTTCTCTGGCTGAGTTTATAAACCCAGGAAGTGGCACTTGGCAGATGCTGTGTGAGGGAAATGGTGTGTGATGAACCTGTGATGCAGGTGAGGGACATACAGGCACCAGGCACCCCTGAATGGCAGCAGCCAGGGAAATAATAAACAAAGCTCCAGAAGGGGCAAGAGGCCCAGATGCAGCTAAAAGAGGAGAAAAGTAAAAAATCCTGATGTCATCTGAGGACCACAAATCCAGTGACGGGGATAGTACAGGGATAGCACAGAGAGATTCAGGTTCTGAGAGTATCTAAGGCTTAGTGAGCATGGA